ATATATGAAAGGGGTATACAGAGAGAAAATATTACATGCATATTCGTGGATACCATGTTCCTAGTTATTTTCCTACTTTTCCTTAGTATACATACTATTACTGTCCTTCTTCTAACTACACATTAGATAGGGGAAGACAGAGAGTAAGTATTACATGGCATATTCGTGATTACCATGTTTTAACCCTTTATTACATACTGTTTTTATTGTTTTTCTTGTAACTAGATATTGTAAGGGGGGATGTTACATGTATATTCGTGATTACCATGTTTCCACTTCACCTTACATACTTTTACTGTCTTTCTGGTAACTATACATTAGATAAAGGGGAAGACAAAGTGAGAATATTACATGTATATTCGTGGTTACCATGTTCCTACCATGTGGTTACCATGTTCTGAAAAAAAAACTTAATTGTTATTGTAACTAGACATTAGATACGGGGGTATTAGATGTATATTTGTCTTTACCGCGTTCTTTTTTTCCTTACACACTATTAACATCCTTCCTGTAACTAGACATTAGATAGGGGAAGACAGAGAGAGAATATTACATGTATAATAATGATTTCCATGTTCCTACTTTTCCATACACACTTTTACCGTCCTACCTGTAACTGGACGTTAGATGTATATTTCTGATGACCATATTCCTACTTTTCTTACATACTATTAATGTTCTTTTTAAAGCTAGACATTAGATAGAGAGGAAGACAGAAACATGTATATTCGTGATTAACATGCCCTTACGTTTCTTTACATATTATCACTGCGCTTCTTGTAACTAGACATTAAAAAGAGGGAGGACATAGAGAGAATATAATATGTATATTTATGATTACCATGTTCCTTCTTTTCCTTTTTATACTATTACTTTCCTTTTTGTACCCAGATATTAGATTGGGGAGACAGGCAGAGAATATTACATGTATATTCGTGATTTCCATGTTCCTATTTTCTTAAAACTATTACTGTTCTTCTAACTACAAATTAGATAAGGGGAAGGCCAGGCGGTGGTGGAAGGGTCGCTAAGCATGACGGGTAATTTTCTCGGTCAGAAGCGCAGCGGGCTCATTTGAGCTGCTAGCGGCCGCCCCGAGCGGTCATGCCGGGAGCTCAAAATACGCATTCAAAATGGCCGCCGCTACATCGTCGCGTTCTTCTACTGCTGTTTTGATCGCCAGGAACGCGTTTACGGGCCATCTACTTATCCTCAGAAGACACCAGGTTTGTGTAGACTTTGGTCATAGTGTAATTGTTGTAGCTTAGCGATGTTAATCGGCACAACAATCGAAATGAATAGCGTAAAGGACGAACGTCACATGGGTGATCGGAAGCTACAAAAACTCTATCCCACTGCGGTACGGGGGATATTTTACAACCTCTACCACTGTGTCTCCACGTACTACTGGGTTTCGGTTGAGATAATGATGATATATGCATGTAGTTGTTGTATTTTAGATACGCACATTTTGTTGGGCTTCGTTGTGTAGTGAGGGGGAGGGGGCGAGGGGGGCGATACTTAGGCTAGTACTTTCCGTGCCTACCTTCCTTCGAGCTTCCTCCGCGAGCAATGTATGTTCGAAGAACGACACAAGCTAAGACTTCCAACTTGGAAATACTAGAATATAGATGTTGTTCACTGTGCAGTTCGTTGTGTTCCTAACCGCATGCTGTTTTGTCTTTGAGCATAATTTCTGTGATGATATTTTTATTTGTAAATTTAATATGAATGCCATTATACATTGTATATATATATACAAAGGTTGAATGCATCCACGGAGGTAAAAAAAAATCATGCATCGGAACCGTTGAACACTTCCATTCTTCTCGTTCACCACAGACTCAGTATGCAGGGCCTTTGTAAGTCCTTCCAACATCTACAGAACCTTGCACCACGATGGGGACTGCTGTAATAGCTGTCTTTGCTTCATGCTGCATGTGTCAAGGAATAATTTCTTGAGCAACCAACAGAGCTGAAATAGATAAATGTATCAACAGCTTGTGGTACCGGGTCCATACATTATACATGTATAAGGGCCCTATAATGGTATCAAAAAATATATGGAAACAACTGAGTTTGCTTTTAGCAACCCTAACCATGTGCACCTGCTCTTAATATAATATGTAATAAATAGGTCCTAGAATGTATGCATTATATTTGTGAATATATATATATATTGTTTGAATGTAGATGAGTTTAATGTGGAGACACTTCCTTTATTTTTAAGAGTACTTGAGGGTAAATGGATTGATACTAAAAAAAGGAGCATTAATCCACTCTGTATTTGATGTAATGTTGCACAACACTCTTACATGTATGCAATGATTTTAATTACATAATTCTTAGTCCTTCCATCTATTCCTACAACATTGTAAGTATTGAAAATATTATATATATGTAAATATTATATATTTTGAATGACCTCTGGCCTCCTACCATACTGATTTATTATTACTTTCTGTATACAATGCATTAGCCTAGGTTATGGATTGTAGGGTATGTGATTCGTTACTTTATTGTGTTATGTATGTATGTATTTCACAATGTGAGGCCCGACATCAGCTCAGCTGCCAGGGCTTCCACTGTATTGCACTGTATTGTTTGCAATTTAAATAAATAAATAAATATGCAATGATTTTGTTGCTGTATTATTGTCATATCTTTATACAACAATGATGTCAGTGGCTGGAAAATATGATGGAATGAACTTGATGGTGCAGTCTATGTTGTCCTTTCATCATAGGGTGGAATGCTTATTACAACTAATATTGGATATAAAA